ATTTTCTCTCCTCGAACATTTTTTTCCCCTCCCGTCCGTTGGCACTGCGCGAAATTTCCTACGGAGACAGTGAACGTGTGGGTCAACGAGAGCTCGATTATCGAGAGAAAGGGAGCGTTCTTCGACTTGTCCGCGACTGCGACGGGAACTTCCTTCTTCTGTCGGTGACTTAAAGAAATGTTTCCGAGTGAAGTGGAACATCGGATTTTCATTTGAATTTATTCAGATTCCTGTTAAACGAATGATTTTATTCAGCGTCGCGAACTGTGAAATACTGTGAAATATGTTGCGGGTATATTTATATTTCCGGTGTTTAGTTATTTACAGTTCTCTAACCTGGAATATCAAATAGTCTGTTTACTCTGCTGAAGCTATTTAATAATGAAACGAATCAAGAATTCTGCCGGAACTTGGCATCAGTGAAAATTCCCCGAGAATACGGGACATCGAGAAAATACGGGCCGCGGAAAAAGCGAGCGATAAACTAGATTCGTGACCAGAGTCCGCGGATTGACGGACAAAAAGGGAGCCGTGTTATTACATGAAATCTTCGTGACCACCGCCGTCGCTGGTACGCTTCTCGCGGCTGCCGTGTGTCTTCCTTTCAGTCGGAGTGGCTCCGCGGCGTCTGGTGTCGTCGCAGTGTTCAGTCCGTCGGCCGGCCGCTCGGCTTTATGCCGGCCGCGATAGGGCAGGTCGATCGAGAATACGACAGGTGAAAATATTTCAACCCTTCTCGCTGGAAAGTCGATACCTCTGGCCGGCTGACAGGGCCGGGGAATATTATGAACGGACGTCCACGGGGGAGAAGGGTCGTTCCTTGATAATTTCGTACGCGACGCGGGGGGAATGTATCTTAGCTTGTCAGCCCGATGCGACGCGACGCAGATTGCGGTTCTGTTTATTCGATTGTTAACGCGCCTCCATGAATATTCTTTACCAGAGAACGGACGTCGGATTACAACGCGCGAAAGATTGCTCTCCCGGGGACAGTTCTTTGATTAACTTTCGCCGTGATCCTTTTGCAATCTTCTTTCCGCCTACGTGACCGACGAAATATTGTTCATTATAAGAGATGATAATCGATAGCTTACTTATGTGAACAAATGGATGTCTTATTAGAATCTGTCATATTCACGAGCGTTTTACGAAATACGACTTAGATGGAGTTCACTTTCACAGTAATAAGAATCAGTAGTACAAGTGTAAAATTGGTCGGACGCAGTTATTAATCCTTTGCTCTCCAGAAGTTTCTCACCGAAAATATTCAATATCTTCTAATGAGATACAGACATTTTCTTAGATTGAATTAAGACATCTCACATGCATTGAGAACTATTTTCTTTCAATATTTCGTACATTGATGCACTATACAAAGTTTGATATTAAATATCAGAGTTTACAGTTTTGCTGTGTCAAATCATTTGGTGACTTAGAGCCTCTGGAGTGCAAAGGGTTAATATCAATAGCATGGTTGTTCATTCGTTGTCTGTATAATATAGTTCTATTTAAATGTTCTATCAATTCGAATGAAATTCTATCGAATATCCTCGCTTTCTGCGATCGAGGAGTTGCGTTGGTCGAATGACAGAGTAGGGTGGTCGGTGAAGAGGTTCGTTGCGAACAACGGTCTTGATCGGCCATCTAGCGCCGGTCCAACTCATATTTCCACGAATTTCTCCGACTGACAGTATCCAGTTTCAGTGGCGTAGACAACGGTGTCGATGGTTCGAGTTACTGGTCCCTCGAACTCGAGTGGCCGCGTTTTCGCCCCCGAGACGGCTTATTATAACCCTTTGTGAAGCCCGGCAAGGCACCGGCGAAGGTTTCTGGCCTTTGATCCGACCGGACGATCGATCATTGTACAACGTCTCACGTCCGCGGTGAGAGACGAGAAGAAAAGGAAAGACGAAGAATGATCTCGGTGCAGCGTGTCACCTACGTGAGCTGTTTTAAACGCGCCCCTCCGGGACTGCTGCTTTCTTGCTCTTCTTTTTGCCGGTTCATTTCGTAGCTGAAGAACACCTTTTATAAATATCACGTGGCCGCCAATTTTAAGACGTATCTTGTTCGCCGTCGATAATTGAGCTGTTATTTATAATATTCTTCAAGAACCATACTCTACTCGATGGAGGAAACAATATTGCATTTCTCCTCAGCGTTACTTTTCCGATGAATAAATAATTAAACTTTCTTGAATGGAACGAGTAATGAATAGTTTAATTGAATTAAACGGAGCACTGGACTTTGAATTTTCAGTGTCCGTGAAAAATATTGCTCGCCGTTCGATTCTGTTTTTCCCCGTTTGCTGTAATTAAAAAGTGAAAGAGGGCGCGCTTCGTTAGAATTACGTTTCTTCGTTATCGAAAGAATCGAAGTGGGAATATCCAGTGCGGCCCCTCTTAATACATCATTAAACCAGGATTATTCATTTGCCAGAAGAGAGAGCTCCGGCGGAAGCTGTTTTTAGCGAGATCTCCATTGGCCCGCGAGTCCATAGATTGAAATAAACACGCGGGAGGACTCGTTAATACTGTTCGCAGCGAGGAAATCACGAGTCGTTCGCGCGAGTGCGCAGCCCGGCGACGCGTCAATTACCCTTATTCCTGAAACTTTTATTCCCGGAACGGAACGGTCGCATTAAACCGTCAAAGCGATCCGTAAAACATCTCGCAACGGTGTCCGCGCGGTTTCGAGCGAGCCCGAAAACCCCAAATTAGAATATCATATTCCCAGTTTATAACGAACGCGCATCAACCGCTGTAATTGCGGGTTCCGGGAACCGTGTAATTATATGTAATGAAAAAAAGAATGGAGAAAATGGGGGGAGGAAACGTAACGCGTACCCTTTAATCCGTTGAATTATCGGTCCCCGAAGCGGTATCGAATTATTCTGCTCGTTTCGTCTTCTAAAATAATTACGCTGGGAAACTCGCTCTTCGAGTTGCACGCGTGGCTTTCGAATTAAGAGGAATCGACGGTTGAAATTCCAACGCGACAGAACACTCTCCACAGAGATATCATCTATTTCATTTATCCAGGCTTTTTCAAGTGAAACTCTCATTTCGTCCGACATAATTTAAATTCGGGAGTAGTATAAAAAATTTATTACTGGCCTACTTATTCCAAGATTTTTTGATAACGCTCTAAATATATAAATTGAGGGGCAGAGTTAAAACGCTGACAACTCTCTCTCTCTCTCTCTCTCTCTCTTCCTTCCTCGTTTTTCGTTTGAATTCAAATGAAATATTATTACCAATCCTTATGCTTCAAAGCAAACGTGTACACGGATAATCAGAAAATTTCTTGTTTCCTACAGATTCTTAATGACAAAGAGATTCCAGCAGGCACAATTACAGGAATAGATCATGGAGCAAGGAGCGAACATTGTCTCAGTTGTTTGCTTGTTCGGTTCTTATTTCAATAGTTTAGGCGATTCTCGCGCGACTCGAGGTCGCGTGTGCGCCACACGTGTCTCCTGTTATGCGCGTGCAAATGGCGTGTTGAAATCGACAGGGAGGCTCTTTACGTATTTATTTGTAAGCCTGGTATATACGCAACGCGGGCTCCCCGTGTTGTGCCATTCGGAGAGACCTCGACAACCGCCACTTAAGCGGAATGCCGGAGGGTTGGCTGCCTTCCCCCGTATTCAATTAGTACACCGCACGAAATATCAATGCCATTGCTGGAAAGCTCCTTCGATGTTCTCGAGCATAGCAAAGAGAGAGAGAGAGAGAGGGAGAGAGAGAGGAGACGATGGAAGGGAACAGAGGGAGGGAATAAGAGGATACTTTCCGGGAACCGCAGTTATTCCAATTGAAGCATGCGCTGCCGTTCGAATTGCTCCTAATCTCTCAGTCTTCGGCAACTCGGTTCTTCCGGCGTTTAATCCGCCGTTGCCGCGGTAGCAATATTTTAATTACGTTTTTTCGAGGATCCTCCACGATCGTTGCACTTCGTTCTGTTTTATTTGTCTCTTGTTCGCCTATCGATAATGCATCGTTGATTATTTTTAGACTTATCAGTTCGCTGTCGCTGCGGCGAGATTTTATTATACGTAGCGCAGAGTAATTGCCTATTCAATTCCAATGAATCAGTAATAGAATCGAGTAATATTTAATATACTTTCATGCATAGCTTTTTATCTCGTTGAGCATCGAACTCTTTTGTAGTATTAATTTTTCCATCGGTGAATCCTATTTGAAAGTAGAGATAATGGAGCTGGGAACACCTGTAATATCTATCTCTGAGGAATCGGATCATGCGTGTTCTTCCATGCATTTGTTATTTATCACCTTGCCGCATATAATCGTTTGAAGCTTTAATTTCGACTGGCGTGTTCTCTCGCGCGACTGCGAACCGAATGTTTTCGAAAGTTAATTTATTTGTCATGGTGTTCTTTATCATTCGAACGTATCGGGATTTGTTTCTTCCCGCTCGTCGTTACTTTCTATAATCGCGCAACGTTTTTATTTCGACATCCTGGGAGACCTGTGGAACAACACGATAACTTTCGTGCCATTAAAATCTCACAATCGGTCCAATTAAATGGCAATAAAAAAGTCTCGCGTTATATTTGAAATATATGGCACTCGACGATTCTTTTGTGCCGAGTCTGCGAACGCGATCGAAACTGGAAGGAACGGGAGAAGGGAAAAAAATATGCGGGGCGATTTTCACTACACGTGAAAACATAGCACGAATCCCTGGAACTGCCCTCACGACACGAATTCACAAGAAGTTAGCTGTTAATTATCTGCATTTTTTAATTACCGGCCTCCGTTGTTCGACGTAATCACTGCGTGAAAATTTCCGCGCGAACTGGCGAATTCACGCTACATATTCCGCAGGCTCGCGTCCAATTAGAAAGTTTCGTTTTCTACCCCTGTTTTATCGAATCCTGCCCCTGCCGTTGCGATCATCCAACTTCCATTCCGCTTCTATTTACCGTTCCCGTGCCTCTACTCAAATTAATAATCGAATCTCATTTGTTTTTTCAGAACATGGACGTGGCGAAGGCTTCCGAGCGTCTACTCAAACTTGCCGTGAGTATATTATATTTTATTTAAAAAAAGCAAACAGCCACGAACTGGACGGCTAACAAGCTCGGCGAGATCGATGTCTGTTACCGTGAAAAACCGAGCGTACCGCGCGATACGCAAGGCGCTCGAAAATACCGTAGTCGAACGTTATTCGAAAATTATTTTCGAATAACACCTTCCGCGTCGCGGTGATATTTTTCTTATCGTCATTCGCGTTCCTCGGGACATCTTCGAAATATAAAGACGCGAACGAGCGCCGTCAAGATCAAAAGCGGAATATATTTTAACGAACGGCGAACTCCGAGGAAATTCAAAGTTATAGAAAGAGTGGTGCAATTCCAGTAGCCCCGGAAACGGTAAATAGTAAGTGCAAAGTGGATAGAACACTCAAGCACACTTGCCAAGCATGAACTATGCTAAAGCCGACTTCCACTTTGTCGTCTTTCCACTTTAAAGTGAGAACGCTGTCGAAACCGTTCCCCTCGATAAGAAGTCGGAAGTATTATTTTGCGAGCCGAACTCTCCCCGGCGTTTCACGTGAACTTCGTCTCAGTGAAACTCGCTTTAACAAAGGAAAAAATTGAAAAGAGAGGAAAGAAAAGGAGAAGAAAAAAAGGGAGAAGCTGGGGCGCAATGTTGCAGAACTGAACGCTGCGAAACGCGTTTTCGATGAGCGTCGCAATAACAGAGCCCCGTTGTAAATCCGTCCGCGGAGAACGCTTTAGTTTCAGTTCGCGGAACACGCGACAACAGACCGAGAGCATTTGAATGCCGGCCGAAAGTTCCGCGGAATCTATGAATTCATGATTCAACTTTCGCCCGGCTGTGTACAGCCGGTCTCTCGCCGCGTGACGGTGCCTCGCCGCGTGAGTTATACCGGCCCGGAAGCGGCGGCTTGTAACGGAGTTACCCGCGTAACGCCGTTTCCATCAATAAACGAGCCGTTCGAGTCGCTACCCCTTGCGATATTCCTCCTTCGAAACGATCCGAAGTTATTCCGGCGATACAGGAAGCTAAAGGCAATGCAGCCGAGGTATAATTCTTTTACGAAGTTCATGTTTCCCTCGGTTCTTCGGGCAACTTCAAACGCCACGTTCAGTCGACTCGCGTAGTTCGATGGCGAATGCATCGACTGCCATAAGAATTTTCACGGTTCTAGATCTCATTGATCCTTCCGCACCGAACACGAATAGAAATTCATTATTTCGTAATGCGGTATGTTAGCGGTTGCGATCAGATTCGCTGTGTCCTTAGATCTAGCAAAATGATCAAAGACTGCGGTGTGCTTAAGATCGCTGAACCTGTGCGGTCTCTCTGAAGTTTGCTAACAGGGACATAGAGATCTTTAATGTTTTTTTAGATCATTCTTTGGGGCCTCTGCTTAAGGCCTTCTCGGTCAACCAAGCTCAAGGTTCTTTGGGATTATTAAACTGTAGCGCCAATCTCGTCTCAAAGATTTCTACTTTCTCCAAAGATCATCTCAAGATTATGAGACTCCCTGCCTCTAAGTGCTAACCTACGAGTCTCTACCAGTTCCCGTTCCTCGGCTGAGCATCAGCGCTGCAATTAGCACGGCATAATTACTATTCCCACTTTTTACTCGCTGCGCTGAAGGATCAAAGGACCGTGTTCCATTTAAACGGCGCACGACAAAGCGCAGTGGCCCAAATGTCCCCGCAACCGCAACCTTATCACAGCACCGCGATCAAGTCTGAGATCTCGATCCCTCGATTATCGTCCAGCCGGCTAAAGAGACCGCGGTCGCTTGTTAACATCGTTAGGCGGGTTTTATCGGATTTCGGGATACAGGAATAACCGCGTCGTCCCCATAAACGGGAACGTAAACTTCGAAAACAGGGGGTCCGGTAATTTGACGCGTAACATTTGCGGCCGCCGTTAAAACCGCCCGATGGCCGGACACCGATGCTTTCGATGCGTTAATTAAAATTTTCACTTGGCGCGTTTACAACGCGCACGCATTAAAGCGGACCCGTGTCGCGTCGCGGGTCACGGGTCGCGCGGAACAGAGTGCGGATGCGTCAAAGGGACCGCGCGTCCATCGTCGACGACGAGAACGCGGGAATTCGTGTATCCGGCTGCGCGGCGATAACGCGGAACAATATTTGCGTATTAAAAATCGGTATTGCGGCTGGCAACGTTCTTCTCTCGACCCTCTCTCTCTCTCTCTCTGCAGCCATCTGTAATGCGAAAGCCACAGTCGCAGCGGGAACAAGTGTCGGGCAAACAACCGATAACCGACGAAACACTTTTAATTCGAGGCGGATACGCGATTCGCTCGCCGGTTATTTGCGCGACATTCTCGCCCCTTCGTTGGCGCCGGCTAAAGTATAGATCGGGCATTGAATGGTTAATATCGTTCGACGACGAGGAGGCCAGAGGACTTCCACCGGAGCCCGTCCTTCGACGAGAGAGCGTTCTCGTTTACAGTTCGCGGTTCAATCGTCGCCGAACAGGCCGGTCCAATAAAGGAGAGAGCAATTGGATCGTGAGGAAAAAAAAGTGTTTCTGTTGAGGGCGGATATGGTCGAGCACTCACGAGTGCAGCCGCGGTATACAGGACGTGTTCCAACATTTTTAACAAATTGGAACAGGAATGACTGGCTTCGAACTTGCTTTCCTTATCGATGTACTTCCGATGCAGAGCATTTTAACACGGTACAATTCTTTTAATTAAAACAGTAGTGGCATCGAACGGTTCAGGTAAATTTCTTTCTTTTATCGATATCACAGATTCAGTGGAAAGTCGAAAGGTTTGGTGAAGATCTAATCAAACTCGTGCATCGATCGGAAGAACTGACCGAAAATAAATGCAGCGAAGTCGTGTCTATGCATTTATGTACATCTCTATTGACCTTTTGCACTCGGAAGTTTCTCACTAGAAATATTTAACATTTTTGAAATCACAAGTGCATCGAAGATCGAAGCTATTTTATTCCAATGTTTCACTTATCGTGGCATTACACAAAGTTCAACATTAAGTATCAGATTTTATAGTTTTCGTGTGTCAAATCTAGCGACTGAGAGTCACCTTCCGAGCGCAAAGGGTTAATTCACACGTAATTTTGATTTCCAAAGAGTCTTCGAGGATCACCGATCAAAAAGCGTAGAGATCGAGCGTTCGCGAGCGAGAGAGACATTCGAGGTTTTCCTTGGCACGGGTGGCCGCGGCGTTTATTTGCTGACGCGGGCGTCGGACGTGGGTAATTAATGACGCGATGGGTCCAATTAACCGGCGCCCGGCGAAAAATTTGTTAACGAAGCCCGGCGGAGCGTGGCTTTTCTGGTCAGGCCGCGGTGCTTTAATCGGGAGCCAGCCGCGTATCGCCAGGCGCTATTATTATACACGGTCCAGGAGGACGATTCGCGGCAGTCGCTTTTCGGGATGGAAGTCATATAATTGAATTCGGTTCACCGAGTCCGGTTCACTGATCGAAACACTACGGCTGGCTAGTTCCGATCCGGACTAACGAGAGAATAACGAGCACGAATAACGACGCCCGAGTGAAATCGGCCCCCGATGGACGCTGGTCTGGAGCGAGTCGAACATTGTACGAACTTCGGCTCACAGACACACCGCTCGGTTCTTATGTGATTCCTCGCGAAGTCTCGAAAGTTTTCGAACGGTAATTATTTTCTGTATCGACGTATAATTCGCTGTTGCTGGCTCGTAGCGATGACGAGCGTAGACTCATTATATTAGTCAATTAGAATGGATACTTATCTGAGGAGATTTATAAGCTTCCGAGAGTTGTGAACTGCATAAGCTTCGATAAGTGAAAGCTACAAACTCGATACGCGACGAAGAAGCCAACGTTTCATTCCTCGATATTACAATCCCAGATTTGATCGCTCCCACGGTCGGCAAATACCCGAAAGAAAGCCACAACCATTATCACATCCGTCAGCTCAACAAGCAACTCCAGGTTCTCCCAGAAAATCAAAGTGGAATCAGCGTTCCCCGAGGCGAGTCCGCCGCAATGAGAGTTCCTCTCCCGATCTCATAAGTCACGCGACGAGAAGAATCGCTCATCCCCGGTCCCTTTGTACCCTTCTGTTTCCCAGCCGCCCGGGCACCGTTCGTCCGGAGGGAAAAATAATTGTTTGTCGATCGAGGGGAAGAATCGGTGGCGCACGGAAGCCGCTCGAGGTGGCGAGCAGACTGGTGAAAAGATCGAGCCCCGTCATCCTCGGGGCGCGCGCGGGACCCTCGCTCGCAATGACCCACGGGACCTTTATTTTCGTTTACACCGCAAATAACTGCGAGGGTGGCTCGGTCACCGTCCTCGGTTAATTGCGGTTCTTATATACGAACCGGTGAACTTGGAAGACAGAGGGCGCGCGCGAGGCCGCCGCTCGGCGAAAGACGTGCTGGAGGCCGGCGAAGAGGACGCCGAGGGAGGAGGAAGCGGAAGGACGGTGAAAAGCCGGGGAACTGCAATGTAGGACGAGACTTTAATCTCGTCGTAATGGGGAAACGCAATTTTCCTGCAGTCCGCTGCCAACGAGGTCGTTTCCTTAGATCGATCTGCTTTATACGAGCGCGTCCCTCCGCCCTGTCCACTCGTCCCCTCGTTTCGGAATCTCTTTGACGCCACGCGGGTGCCACCGACGGGAAAGAAGCCAGGCCAGGTGAGGGACAGTCTGAGGTGCTAGTCTACGCGCCGAGGCGACGATCCCTTTCGCTCTTTCAGAGCCGCTGCTGCTGCTCGCGCGAGACGCCGCCCGCGGAAACTTGTTCACGCGTCTCGCGTTTCTCGAGTCTAACTAATAACGGGGGATCGGGGACGCGTGAACTGTCTGCCTGGGAATCCTCGGAGCTTCTCGGAGCTGGGGATTGGCGTTTCGTCGGCGGACTGATTGTCGACACGCTGTTAAGCAACGGAGATCTGTTTCTCTCGATGACGAGCTACTCTTTCACTACTTTAGTTTCAACTTAACGTTCTGAATTTATTTCGAACGAATTCCCGCTTGTAAATCAGTCGATTGTTGGTATCTCCTAGAACTCTTATAGACGGAGGTAACATCATCGGGGATTAAGACTGCGAAAATCCGGACTTTTCCTCGCAACAAGCCCAGCCATTCGTCGGTCTCGCACTGTCCCATAGAACGCATATCTGTAATGTGTGCTTCATGCATATATACTGAAACCCATCGATCGATTTCCATCAATAATGCAGGCATATTGGATTCAGGAATACGAAGATGTGGCCGGTCGCTGAACGAGAGAGA